GCGGCGTCGCAGAATCCACGTCCCAGACGATGGCGGGCGTGGCCATGGTGGCGCGACGCGTGTCGCGGGCGGCGGCCGAGGCGCCGGCGGCGGTTGAGGTGCGGCGGAACTGGAAGCCCATGTCGGCGGCGCGGCGCGAAGCCATTGCAGTTTTGTTTGTTGGGGAGGCAACGGCGTTGGGGGGAGGCTCAAACTCGAATGGTGCGGCGGAAGATGGGTTCGGTGACGGCGTTGTGACACACGCGGTGGGACGCAGACTGCAGGGAGGAGGGGGAGGACGAGCCGTTACGGTTGGGTGCCAGGGGGAAATTTTGAATTCCAGAAAAGCGCGCGAGGTTTGAAATTGGGGAAGCGAAAAACGGAGATAAATGGCTTTGGCTATTTCAAATTGTAAGAGGGATCATACAAGTAATTTGTGTTGGGAAGAAAATTGGTCACATCTCAGGCCCGTTCCTAAATCCGGGATGATTCTTTTGACTCGTGGACGAATTGCACATTGGCCGGCGCAAGGACGACACTGTTAAGATCGGGCTACAGTATTCGCCCAGATATGACGGAAGTCAATCGTCCAATAATATTTCCCCATGACCACCACCATCACTAGATGTCAATCCTAGATGTTTGGCTGATGTCAGCCATATCAACATGAGCCGTCGGCTCCAGGATTTACACTAACGTTGTCCGTAAAATAACGCGTTGTTTTTTTCCATTTGCCCACAAACTCGCTGGACGTACAGTACCAACGGTACAGTAAAGTAAACCTGAGTTTGAAAAATCCCACCACGAGTTTTGCGGACTGACCTCCAGCAAGGTACCTGCCCGCAACAAATGCAAGTCTGGTACAGGGGGGGGTCGCTCAATAGTGCCTACTTTAGTAGTGCTTCCCTCTATATAGTGCTATGGCTCACCCTCTGGCACAGGTTATCATAAGCTCACACGTGTATCATCCGGCATGGTTCAGTACTCAAAGGATGAAGTTATTTAGTTGTGTTATACAGGCTTTGTTGTGTTTGTGTTTGCAGTGTGCTTTGTCCCCAAATATATGTATTTGAGCCTCCTTTATATAGTGCCATCCCCCCAATAGTGCCATAGCTAGAGGTATGTCACGCTATAGCACTATATCGTAAGAGGCACTGTACATCGTTGTGCCGCCCGACGGATCACGTGCACCTGCGCGAATACTCGCTGAAGCGAATACTGTATTGTACCCTTGAAGGGTAGCTCGCCACAAATAGAAAGGTTCCCAGTTGAAAGGGCGATGCGTTTCGTCTTCTTGACAGGCTGAGGGGGGCCGTTTGGAGAAGACCGCTTTTTAGAAGCTTCTACTTGTCTATCTTTCGCCGTTGCTTCGGCGGCATCTGTGACAGATCCTGTCGCGCTTTGATTCGTTGATGGACTCTGCGCAGATGAAGCGATAGGGGCGTCCATGACGCAAACCGGTACGACCCGTGCAGTATGAGACTCGTTTGTGCTGATGAGAGAGCGGAAAGCCCACTTCGTTTTCCTTCAAGACGGGT